TTAGATAATAGATGGATTGTGAGATAAACAGATGAATGAAAAGCCAAATGAAGGGTAGGTGGGTGACTGCATGAAAATATGAATGTGCAGATTTATGTACACAGATGGATGAGGGAGAAGGAATGGAGTGAGGTACGGATGGAAAGTTCAGGGCCAGATTGCTTATTTCACTTTTACAGTGCCCCAACTAGAACCTGAAATACAGTAGCAGACGTAAGGATGAAGTGACTTTATCATTGAAGCACTAGATCACTATAGTAAAACTTTGGACTAAGAGTCAAAAATCCTGATTTCCAACTCCATCTCTACCTACAAAATATCATAGGCAATTTAACTAAACATTTTCAATATACTCTTCTGTAAAATTGGCTGGCTAAATTAAATAATTTCCAAGGTCTTTTCTAAACACCCTTTGTTTTCCTGTCTTGAAGTTGTATGATTCTCAAATAAGGCTAAGCCAGGCTTGGTAATGCACAGTTAAAATCCCAGGACTTGGGAGGCTAAGGCAGGAGAATCACCATGAGTTCTAGGCCAGCCTGGGCTATATAGTGAGTTTAAGGCCAGTCTGAATTACATAGCAAGACTCTGTCTCAAAAAGAAAAAAAGATAAGGCTAAGGAAAGGGAGGAGGGACCACATTTGAGCAAATGTGTTTACTTACAACTTGTCCTAATGCAGAGCTGATCCCAGATCTCTGCCAGCAATGCGAGAAAAAAGTTAACACACTCCAGATGAGATGCTGTTCAAATTGTCTGGCTAAAAGCCTTGTGGCAGAAATGAAAGACAGGCTGATAACAGAGCCTGAGGGGGAGTTAATAGTGAAACATGAACCTCTACAAGGCTGAATTTACCCCAAGCTGGAAGAAAAGAGGGAAGAGCCAGTCTACATGAAGCCTTCCCAGGGCCCCGGTTGCTGACCAAGTGTACTCTTTATCCAGAAGGACAGGATTTGTTTCTAGAGAATGTGGTCTGTCCTGATAGATGTGCACCTGGACGCTTGGCATGCTCTGGAGTAATAACTGTACGAAGAACACATCTATCATTAGTTATAGATCAGGGTATGCTATCAGATATCATATGTCTATGACAAGTCCTGGTTATATATCACCCTGTCATCTTTTCCAGCAACCCTGGGAGTCAAGAAGGATGACCCTCACTTCACAGAAGAAAAAAAGCATGGCTAGTGAATGGCAGACTTAGAGTACAAACCCAGGACAGCTTGGCTGTTTCTGCTCTCCCTGGCTGCTGTCTTGGCAGGCAGCTGCCTTGGAACTGGTCAGATAATCCAGAGACTTGGCTCAAGCCACACCAACCTGCAGTGACACATGCCAGAGCTTGCCTGGGCAATATACAATATGCTTTCATGTTAATTCAAGCTGGCAACGTGGACCATCACTTCCACTTTACTGATGGGGTCACTGAGACTCAAGGTGACTCGGGTTAAGTGACCCGGACATGGTCACAGAACTGGTAATGGTGATTACATCCCTGGGAACTGCAGTCTCAAGCCAAGCCTCTTTATTTTGTTCCCATGTGGTGGCTCTGGGTGGACACCTCTGAGTTTTGGCTAAATATTCATTCCACCCAGCTTTGGTAAAAGCATCTGAATTTCCTTTGGGGAATCATACCCCTTCCACCCCACCACCTACAATCAGTCCATGTAATTTGGGCAGAAGTGATACACTCTGTACTTTCTGTTACTTTTTCTTGCCATAGTGATTACATGTGACCAAAGATGTCCAATGACACTCATGTCCATTGAGACAAGAGACTAGGGCATGGCAAAGCTGGCTGGGGAAGTAGGTGTGACCTGTTAATTACAAAATCCCAGGACACATGTGCAGAGCAGTTCCCAAATCCCTTCATGTGGACTTCTCACAAGAACTTGAGCAGGTTTTCAATGACCTGGACCTGACATCATTCTGAGGAGTGACTGATACAAGAAGGACAATCCACAATGAGTTTTGCTGCTGTGTTCCCACCTGCATGGTGGCCCACCCTCCTGCTATAGGATGTATGTACTTCTTTTTCTTTTTGCACTTGGCCCAAACTTGCTCTGCAGAGCTTGTTTCTTTCCCTGCTTTAATAAAACTTTGCTACCATTTCTACTTGTCATGACAAATCCTTTGCTCAGGACAGAAAGAAGATACAAGTCACCTCCAGAAAGAGATTCCAGCACCCAAAACTGAGTAACACCATGACATTAGAAACTGCTCCGAAGAGGTACCCTCTTTATGGTAGAGTTCCTGAGCTGGTACTATAGAAGCAAGGAGTTGCTGGGATCCACCTGTGACAGCACAAAAGGAGAAGCGGCCATGGAGTAAAGCCAACATGGAGAAAAGGAAGAATACAACAGAGTTTCCTAGGGACACATTCTGAGACCCTGGATCAGATCCAGCCACATCTCTCTGTATTCCAGTACCTGAGCCAGTTAATTTCCTTTCTGCGTAAAGTAGTCTGATTTACGTGTCTCTTTCAGGCATTGAAGAGGCTCCAAGGCAATGCTGCTCCCCTCATCACAATGAATTAGCGTTTGTCTTCTTGGCTACTGTTCTATGACCCAGGGCACTTGAGGGCTGGGACTGGGTCAAAGGCCACCTCTATGTCTCAGTGCCTGACTCGCCCATGCTGCGTGAATATTTGCTGAATGAATAAAAACCCAACTTGACTCCAGAGCCTTTGTGCAGTTGGAGGTATGTTAGGCCCTAAAGAAGCCCGACTTCTCCAGCCCAGCCCACCCTTTCATCTCCTTCTTCTCTACCAATTCAAAAGCTACATCCTCTGAAATCAGCCCCCCAGCCTTCTCCCCAGTTCAAAAGTGCTCTGGTCTACCTCTGAACCTCTGTGAAAAGTTTCTGCCTGCTATAGTAATTAGCATCCTTGCCTGAGCTCTCCTACCAGACTTAGAAGTCCTGAGGACAGGGGCAAAAGTGAATTCCTTTTTTTTTTTTCATCAAACCAGCACATGGTATTCTCCAGAGTGCAGGAGACATTTTCTAAATCCAAGAAATCGTTTTATAAACATTTACCAACTCCTAATACATGCCAGGTACTGAGAATACAGAGGTAAACACAGCATAATGGTTAAATGTAATGATGATAATAATAACAGCTACCATTTACTGAGGGATTACTTTATGCCTGGCATTGATATAAGCACTTTATATGTATTAACTCATTTAACCCTCAGAGCAAATCAGTGAGGTAGCTACTACTACTACCCATCTTACAAATAAGGAAACTAAGCTCAGACATGAACAGTCTGTGCATGGTCACAGAGACGGCAGGCAGCAGAGTCAGGATGGGAACCCAGGCAACCTGGCTCCCGATCCGTGCTCTTAGCTGGCACCCTATGCTGTGGGTGCTGAGTGCTCAGTAGATTGCTTCGTCATAGCTCTGACCTTCCCATTCCTAATGTCTGTACATCCTATTTCTGGAAAGAGCTTGACTGAAAATGGAATCAACCATCCATGCCCAAAGATTGTGAAGGAAAGAGCTTGGATTTTAGAATGAGCTACACTAGTTTGAATTTCTGACGGCACCATTTTTAACCTGTATAGTAACCTGCGCATGTTACCGTAACCTCCCCGAGCCTCCATTTCTTCAGGATTAGTAAGAGTTAGAAGAATCCCTAGGTGAAAATCACTTAGCACAGGGCCCAGCCCCTGCCACACAACCTCTGAATGGAAGCTGCTGTCACGGTACATGCTGTTACTGCCATGGAACAAAGTCAGTGTACAGAGCTTGGCACAAGCACATTACCAAGTACCGTAAATACACTTCAGGTCTCTTTCTGCCCTCTTCTGGATTTGAAGTTCCCTTTATCTATCCGCCCACAGGATCAAATGTTCCAGGCTTGGTGGGGAGGTAGGAAGCTGGGGGCGTGGGGGTGTGCAAGATGGAACAGGCCCCAGGTTTCTAACTGGCAGAAGAGCAACTGTGGTTCATCTTCAGCTCTACTGAGCAGGCCCCATATTCTGTGCCACCTGTGCCCTTGAAAAATAAACATAACTGCCAGAGAGATGCATGCTTCAGCTGCTGCTAATCCTAGGCCACAAGACAAGCAGGAACTCAAGAGGAGCCTGCAGTGTGAAGTGTCTTCCAAAAACGTTAGCAAATACATAAGAGTGAAGAGGGAATACACAATTAGGCTTCAGAGAACAGGGAATGGAGGCTGAACCACAGACCAGTCTCCACCTTACAGAGCACACCGTGTTTTACCCTCAGCCTTGGTTCTACTGCCCTCTAGTGGCCATACAGGGGCCAACAGGCAGGTTTAACACTACCTGCTGAAGAAGGGAAGGGTCCTCCAAGGAGGGAGGGTTCACCGGATCTTTGAACCTTGGCAAAACCAGAATCCCTTCTCTCCCTCCCTCAGCCGCTGGCCTCTTTCAGCCTCTTGTTCACCTCTCCCTTAGACTTCTGCAACATCTTCCTTACTAATATTAATAAAAATAAACCTCTACTACAGAACGCTTCCTGTAGGCACTGTGTTGAACACATGCCATGGGATTCTTGCAACACTCTTGGGAAATCAGTGGTGTCCTATTTATTGGTAAGGAAACAGGCTCGCACCAGTTAGAGCCTTGGTGGCAAACCTTCTAAAGCCTGAGTGCCCAGACTGGAGCCCCAAACTCACTTATTTATCACAAAGTGCCAACACTGCAATTAAACCTGAATACTGAGGTTTTAGTGTAGGAAAAAAAAAACAGTTATCCAATGATCTGCCACTGCAACTTGGTTCAGGTGCCAAAGAAGGGGTTCTGCATACTCACTGCATCATGCATGCCATAGACTAGCTACCACAGAGTTAGAGGACGGCCAAGGCGTCCCTGGGAAGATCTGAAGCTTAAACCCATCAGCGCCCTGAGTTAGGCCCACATACCTGATTCACCAGCAGCAACAGCATCTCCCTGTGAATTTGTTACAATTCGAATCCTCAGAACCACAACTCCAGTCTAGGGAACTAAAATTTCTGGGTTTAGGACCTAGAACCCTTACCTTAAAGGCAGCCTTCCAAGGAGTCAAGGTGCACCACTGTGTGCTCCAGGGAACTCTGACTGGGGAATCGCCACACTGGCCCAGGTGTCTTCCTAAGACAGGCGCTCAGCTACTCAGAGGCCTTCCAATCCCTCAGGCAGGCCTGGGTCCAACTTCTTAGCACAGCAATAGACCTCTTCACAGCCAGCCGCAAACTGCTTCTCCAGGAACCTGTCATGCTCCCATCAGTCTAAGGGAAGCCGCTGTTGGAGGGGGAAGAGAACATAATAGATGGAGTCCTCAGGGCTATGTGCAGCCGCTCCCTTAGTAGCACACAGGGTGGTAGTTACTGCTCACCTGTGGGAAAACCCTACTACCCAGAATGAGGAGGAAGGCACACTCACGGCCTGGGACCATCTGACAGTACAGCCCAAGTGCTTTCAAGCTGAAAGGACCAAACTGTTACAAAGGTAGACCAGAGTTCCACACCTGTGGGATCACACGTTATACAGGCATGAGCTTCCCAGGTTAGGTTCTGTGTATTTTTTACATTAATATTACTAGTACACTTTTGATATACATAATGATCACCTTCATCACAGGGACTTTGTACCTGTACATAATATATCTTGATTCGTTTTTCCCCATTCCCCTCCCCTCAACTCTTTGTCCCTCCTTATTTACAAAAGCTTTGCTTCAATTATTACCTTCTCTTGTTTCCTTCCATTCCCCTCCCCACTCCATTGTTCCCCCTTCCCATTTAAACATTTTCTTCCTACTTCCCCATATCTATCACCCATTTTGATCCTTATTTACCTGTTTAGTTTCCCACACAAGAGAAACAATGCAATATTTAAACATGTGTGTCCTATTTATTTCACTTAAAAGTATGGTCTCTTCACCTAAAAATGTCTCAAATTTATCCTTCTTATGACAGAGTAGTACTCCACTGTATGTAAAAGCCACATTTTCTTTATCCACCACTTGTTGATGGGCATCTGGATTGCTTCTAAGATTTAGCTATTACAAATCGTGCTGCTATAAACATAGGTGTGCACATATCGCTGTGGTATGATGCTTTTAATTCTTTGGGGAAGGTACCAGTAAGAGGAAGAGCTGAGTCAAATGGAACTTCTAATTTTAGTTTTTTGAGAAAACTCCATACTGACTTCCATAGTGGTTTACCAATTTACACTCCCACCAACAGTGGAAAAAGGTTCCCTTTTCCCCACAGCCTCACCAGCATTTGTTATTGATTAATTTCTTTATACATTCCAGTGAGTTGACTTATGAACTCAATTAGTTCCCGAGGGCTGGCTGTAACCCCAGTTGTCAATTGAAGGCTCAGGTTCCTCTACACAGCCTTCAAAATCTCTCTCCTTTATACAGACAGACCTCAGTGTCCTTAAAGACACTGGCCCAGGATACGTCAACTAACCCCATACAGGAAAGGATGTTGCAGTGTTCCTGTATCTGAGACCATCTGGAAGCACAAGCAGCCAGCATTCGAGTCATAATTCCAGACTTTGGTCATAAGTTAAAACTAAAACTCTGGTCACAACCCAAGTTGTTCATATGTCAGGCCAGTCATAACTTGAGAGTCCACTGTAATTGCCATTCTTTCTGGAGTGATACAGAATCTCAGTGTTGTTTTAAATTGCACCTCATGAATGACCAGTGATGTTGAACATTTTTGATATATTTATTTCCTGATTGTATGTCTTCATCTGAAAAGTGTCTATTCGTTTCATATGCCCAGCTTTGGATTGGGTCTTTACATTTGGGGAATCTGATTTTTTTAGTTCTTTATATATTCTAGATAGCAATTCTTTGTCTCAGTAACAGCTGGTTAAATATTTTTCTCACACTATGGGTTGTCTCTTTGCCCTGTTGGTGGTTTCTTTTACTGTGCAAGAGGTTTCTCACATGATGAGATCCCAGTTGTAGATTCTTTGTAATATATCCTGTGTGGTGGTGGTTTTGTTTTTAAAATATTTGCCTACATCCTTGTCTTCAAGAGATTTACCTATTCTGTCTTGTAGCAGATTGTTTCTGTTTTAATATTTCTTTTCTTCATTTTGTTGATACATTTTATATATAATGATAACATTTATCATAGGGAATTTGTATCTGCACGTGATACATCTTTCTTCTTTTTTCCCATTCCCTTCAACCCCTTCCCGTCCTTATTCACAAAAGCTGTTTCCATTTTTTCTATTCTTTTATTCTTATCCCTTCCTACATTTCCCCCTCCCCTCCCTATGCCCCTTTCCATTTGAACTTTCTCTTCCTGTTTCACAATATCTATTATACATTTTGAACCTTATTTACACTTTTAGTTTCTCACACCAGAGAAATAATGTGATATTTGCACATATCTGTCCAATTTATCTTACCTAAGCATATGGTCTCAAGGTGCATTCATTTAGCTGGAAATGTCTCAGGTTCATCCTTCTTTACAGCAGAGTAGTAGTCAACTGTATAAAAAAATTTCTTTATCCATTCATCTATTAATGAGCATTTGGGCTGTTTCCAAGATTTAGCTATTACAAATTATGCTGCTGTAAACACGGGTGTGCATATATCACTGTAGTATGATGCGTTTAATTCTTTTGGGAAGATACCAAGAAAGGAAATAGCTGGGTTGAATGAAACCTCCAGTTTTCGATTTTGAGGACTCTCCACATTGATTTCCACAGTAGTTGCACCAGTCTACACTCCCATCAACAGAGAGAAGGGTTTTTTCTCCACAGCCCAACCAGCATTTGAAATAACAAATTGATTTTTTTATAATTGCCATTTTATCTAAAGTGAGAAGGAATCTCAGTGTTGTTTTGCATTTCTTGAATGACCAGTGATGTTGAATATTTTTTCATATTAATTACTTGCCATTTCTACTTCTACATCTGAGAATTGTCTATTCATTTCAGATGCCCATCTTTGGATTGGGTCTTTACATTTGCGGCGGGGGGGTCTGGGGTTCTTTTAGTTCTTTATACATGCTAGATATTAGTCCTTTGAGGAATACCTTGCAAAATTTTTTCCCACTTTGAAAGTTGTCCCTTCACTCTGTTATTTCCTTTGCTATGCAAAAGCTTTTTAATAAGATGAGATCCCAGCTGTTGACTCTTTGTAATAATGTGATTTGGTTTTGTTCATAACATCTTTGCTTCCACCTATATCTTCAAGAGTTCTACCTATTCTAACTTCCAGTAGATTTAGTGTTTGTTTTAATATTTAGATCTTTGATCCATTTTGATTTTAGGTTAGTGCATAGTGATAGACTTGGGTCTAGTTTTAGTCTTCCACATGTGGAAAGCCAGTTTTTCCAGCACCACTGATTACAGAGACTAACTTTCTCCCAGTGAAGGTCTTCGGCTCTTTTGTCAAAGATAAGGTAGCTCACTGTATCTGGAGTTGTTTCTGCATCTTATAATCTGTTCCACTGATCCTGGGATCTGTTCCACTGATCCTCAGGCCTGTTTCGGGTTTTTTTTTGTTTTTTGTTTTTTGTTTTTGCCAATACCATGCTGTTTTTAATCACAGTGGCTTTGTAGTATAATTTCAAGTTGCGGATTGAGATTCCTTCTGCCTTATCTTTTTTTCAAGAATTATTTTTGCTATTCTAGGTCTCTTCTGGTTCCAAACAAATTTTAGGATGGTTTTCTCTAATACTGTTAGGTATGCTGTTGGTATTTTGATCAAGATTACATTAAATCTGTGTAACAATTTTCAGAGTGTGGCCATTTTCACTATGTTCGTTCTTCCTACCCAAGAACAAGGAATATCTTTCCATTTTCTGATATCCCCTTCAATCTCCTTTTTCAAATTATTTTGGTTTTCAATGTAAAAATCTTTTGCTTCCTTTGTGAAGATTTATCCCTAAGTATTTCATTTTTTTCAAAGTTATTATGAAAGATGTTGTTTCCCCAATTTCTCCCTCAGTGAGTTTATTATTTGTGTATAAAAATGCTATTGATTTTGATTGGTTGACTTGATTTATTTTGATTATTTATTTAGGTTAACTTTTGATTGCTATTGATTTTGATAGCTATGCGACTGAATTTGGTTATTAAATCTAAAAGTTTTTTGGTGGAGTTTTTGGTGTCTTCTATGTACAGTATCATGTCATCCACAAATAATGATAATTTAATTTCTTCCTTTCTTATATTTATTCCTTTTATTTCTTTCTCATGCCTAATTGTTCTAAAGTTTCCACAACTATATTGCATAGGAGAGATGATAGTGAACATCCTTGTCTTGTTCCTGATATTACAGTGAAAGCTTTCTGTTTTTGACCATTTAATATGACACTGACTATTGGTTTGTCATAGATGACTTTTATCAGATTGGATAAAGACCATCTGTTCCAATTTTCTGTAGGGTTTTTATCATCAAAGGTTGTTAAGACTTTGCACATGCTTTTTCTGCATCTATTGAGATGATCATGTGGTTTTGTCCTTGGCTTTCTTGATATGGTGTATTGAATTTATTGATCTGTATGTGTTGAACCATCCCTGCATTCTTGGGATGACTCCTAGTTGGTAAGAGTGTATAATCTTCTTGATGATTTGCTGCACTCTGTTTGCTAGTATCTTGTTCAGGATTTTTGCATCTGTGCTCATTAAGGAGATTGTCCTGTAGTTTCTTTTTTAGTTGGATCTTTCTCTAGCTTTCATAATCATGGAAATACTTGTTTCCAGAAATAACTTTGGGAGTATTGTTTCCCTTTCAATTTCATTAAAGTATTTGAAGAGTAGTGCATTATATCTTCTCTAAATTTCTTATGAAAGTCAGTAGTGAATCTGTCAGGACCTGGCTTTTGTTAATACTTTTTAATTACATCTTAAATTTCATTGACTGATGTTGAGTTATTTAGAATTTTTATATCTTCTCAGTTTAGCTTTGGTAATTCATATGTTTCTAAAAATCTGTCCATTTATTCTGTTGTCCATCTTATTAGAAGAAAAGTTCTCAATGCAGATACTGATGTTTTGAATTTCTGCAGGGTCCATTGTGATTTCATCCTTTTCATTCCTAATTGCATGGATTTGAGTCTTTTCCTTGTTT